AGGGGGGTGAGAGGTTTCGCCAGAGACAGAGTGGGGAGCAGAATAAGCAGATGGATGATGTATACTACTGAGGAGAGTAGGGGGTGGGTCAGGAGAGGTCTCTACACTTTGGAAAGTTTGCCTTTGTGGATTGCACAAATGAATTCCCTGGTTCTCTGATTTCCTATCAGAATCAGCCCATGGGAAGTCCAGTAATTAATTATTAGCTTGTCATTAGTTTTCATGGGCCAGCTACATCCTTCAATCTATGGTCACAGCTACCACCAGTTGGCCTTTCCACATGGTCCTCTCTGTGTCTTAGGTTCTGTAACTGAACCCTCCCATTTCCTGTGTGACTGGGATTTCAGTAGAACCTATTCTTCTATTTCTAATGATTTCCATTCACTCAACTCCCATCAGGCCTTTCAAACTTATATAAATAATTCCTTTAGGCATTTCAACAACATTATCAGAAAAATAATCTTGATGTCTATAAATCTAGTCTCTCCATCATATTCCATACTTCAAAGGATGATATTTCTATGTATATAGGAATCTAAACCAAAAATTGAAATATCATCCTTATATTGCTTTCATTTAATTCTCTATTAAATCATATAAATCCTATCAGTTCCTCTCCAAAGTAAATCTCATATCCATCCACTGTGCACATCCTTTGTAATGATTGTTCTAGTCCAAAACCTTTATGTAGATTGCCGCAACAGCCTTATAAATTCTAATGTCTACCTTTCCAACCATCCTGCAGTCTATTCTTCTTGTAGCAGCAATAGTGATCGTTTTAAAACATAAGCCAGATCGTGTTGTTCACCTGCTTAAAAAAATATTGCTCTTAGAATAAGGTCCAAAGTCCAATTCTGTGGCTCAGCATGTTTCCTGGGCTGCACCCACTGCTCCAGTCACATCTCCCATTTGCTCTTTGTCCTCACGTTTATTGGGTTCCTCTGTTTTTCACAGCTCAACTGGTCCCTGCCCCAGTGCCTTCGCACTGCTGTTTTTCCCACCTGCCCCCCCACCCATATTCACATTTGCTTCTATCTCATCCTTTGAATCTCAGATCAAATTAGATTTCAAAGGAAAATATTCCCTGCATGTCTACTTTCAATAGTCCTTGCAGAGGAAACCTCTCAAACACACAACTTCTCATATGTGAAACCATCTTATTCACCCTGTTGTTGCTGTGTGTCTCCTTCCTGTGTCCTACTCCCAAGAATGTAAGCTCCAAGAAAAAAAGGATATTTGGCCTGCTTGATCTCTCTCAAATCCTCCCCTGTGCCTAGTAATCCCCTGAGAATTTCATTTCAAAATCTATTCATTTCCCCTTTATACTTATTTTTTTTTAACACCTTTCTTTAAGGCCAAAATGTAATGGAGCCTGTGTCTAATGTTCACGCTTTTAGCAGCTACCACCTAATGCCAGGACTCTAAAATTATACAACAGAGTCATGGTGAATATCTCCCTCCCCCCCATTTATTAATAAAGGAACAAAAAAAAATGAATTTGATTCATGTGCTATTAAAAACTTTGGCATTATGGACTACAAAGATTTTTAGACACTAGGTTGGTTTTCTTTGGTTGCAAGTCAGTCACCTCTAAGGTCTTTACCAAGGCCAGCGTGAAAATTTTTGCCAATGACTACATTAGCAAGTCACCCAAACTCTGTCAGCAGGTGTGAGATAGATGTTGACCCTTTGGAATGGGTTCAGCAAAACCAGAAATGAGATGCTTGGAACAGCTCACTGAGCACAGATGCTGGGCTCAAAGGAATTTGTAAAATGGGCAAGGGAACACTGACCATCTCACTGAGAAGATTCTAAAGCTTGCATGTCCCTGAAATGCACTGTCTGCACCTGGGACCAAAAGGGGCATTGCTAGAGCCAGGAATCTAGCTTTAAATCAACATTTCCTAAAAGTGAATTTTTGAGGATTTAATTCTTGATATCTCACCTGAATGAGAATTCATGGGGAATAGGTGAGATTTATAAAGACATTGACTTGCCCACATCTTGAGATACTTAAGTTCTCCAAAACATGTGGGAAAAGTTATAGGGCACTCCTCGGTAGTGAGCAAGCTTGCATTGTAAGCCATCATCAATGACATAAGTATAATATCATTTCATAGTACAGATAAATACATGTTTGGGGACACAGAAGTGAAAATTGATGATACCTATGCCCCTATGCCAAGGTTTCTACTTGTGGTTCAGCGGGAACAATTCTGTTTGTGTGAAGAAGCTAAAAGAAGTTTCCTCAAAAAAATTCATTTCCTTGACAGTCTGTCGTGTTATCTATGTCATGGCCTCTCTTTCTCGTAGAGTGTGCACACCTGGAGCTCAACACTAATATGACTGTCTCCTAATGAACTTCACTGTGCTCCTGGCTATGATGGCTCACCTGTCACAGTGGCTACTGATTTTCTGTCCCTAATAGTACAGGTTGGGCCCATTTCAACAGCGTATGATCTTGAAAACAGAATAACATGGGGAAAATATTTACTATGTTTGAATTAAAGAAACTGATTGAGGACTTATAAGAAATCCTAGGCATTTAAGCCTGTCTGTTTATACCACCTCTCATGGGCATAACCTCACCTTCGGGATGACCTTGCTGGGCACCATCTGAGAGATGATTGTCTCTAGTTACTATTGGAGCTTAGGCATAGGAGCTAGGGATTTAAGAACATGAACTCTGGGGTTGGACACACCTGGATGCAAATTCCAGCTTTGCTGTTTAAACAAGAATTAATCTCTCCTAAGCCTCAGCTAACAATAGATCTTGTCTCCTAGAGTTGCTGCATGTCTTAAATGAGTTCATGTATATTGAGTGATTGGTGCAAGTCAAGTCTGGCTCAGCAGAGGTATACTGGGGGTGAGCTGAGGCAGCTTATACCATCTGACTGTACCCATCTCTCCCCAACTTTACATTCACTGGCCTCACATTGGTACCTTGAATAGTACCATGATAGGTGTATTTACTATTTACACTATAAAATTCTGTAAATTCATCATCAGGGTTTCCCCTATCAGGAAAACAAGTTTACCGGCCTCTCACTAACTTTAGGTATTCAGTATTATTATTAACATTTCTGTCAGTTACAGTTTTAAAAATCCCTCCAATTATTCTATTTGTATGAGAAGATGAGGTGATACAGGGCCAAGGGAAGGCAGCAGTTAATGATCTTGGGAGGATGATTCAGACTCATCCTTGGAAACCAAGATGGAAAATGAGATCTGAACTGAAGCCAATTTGCCCACCAAGTTCTAGCAGGTCCAGCTGGCATACCATGAAATTCTCCCACACAGAAATCCCCCAGGATTTCAGCACTCAGATATTAGGAAATGGAAAGCAGCTCCCAGGGCCATTTTGCCTTAGTGAGTTAGCATTCTTGGGCCACTGAGTGTGACTTGAACAGCTGTGTCCAGCTGCAGGAGAGAAATCCCCCAGGAAACCTGGTGGGACGAAAGTTGAAATAATGACCCAATTAATGCCCCCAAACCGCAAATGCTGACTCTTTATTAGCATTAGTAATGATTTTTTTACTATGACTTAGTGGCTTGGATTGTTAGCTGCATCTCATTATGAAGTCAACTCCCTTTGCTTGGAAATATGTACTTCTGGCACTTAGTCAATGAGCCTTAGCCAGATAAGGTCCTTAAACGGTTTGAAAGGGCAGTACTCTCTATGGCTGTAGGATATTCCAAGGGCACTTGAGTAAACAGGATAAATGAAACCAGCAAACATTAACAATGCTTCAATTTTCATGGACTTAAATCTAAGACAGGAGGACCACTTAAAGTTTTTCAACATGAGTCTTAAATAATTAAGACATTTTATATGCAAATGGAATTGACATTTTCATTGTAATTTTTTTTCCCCTTGGGCTTTATGTTTTACAAAAGGTAAGTGAGTATTTATCTTTGGTTGAATTCTCTCAGAAATAGATACTGAGACAAAAGTTTAAGTACTTAATTTGAGAGATTATCCCAGGGAACACCAGGAGAGAATAGGGAAGGAAAGAGAAAACAGGAAGTAGTCAGTAAATACTAGGTGTATTCAATGGTGGACACTCAGGGCTCACTTCTATTGGGAATATCACCTTATGGTGGAGAGTCCGATGGTTTAGAATCTTGCTGTCCAATGCCATCTGCTACCAATAGATGTGTCTAGTTTGCACTGAGAGGTGAATTTGTAAGGTGTACACAAAAATTAAAAAATTCAGTTAAAAAATGTAAAATATCTGCCTAACATTTTTATAGTATTGGAATGATGTTTTATATGTGTTATGTTACATAAAGTAGTATTAATTAATAAAAAATTTGCAATGTGGTAGAAATTCTGAAAGTATACATGTCATTCACATTATATTTCTACTTGATAGAGGTGGAATACACCATGCCTCAAAATTGTCTTGAAGGGATGTCAATCAATTGATGCTTGTCTATCATTGGTTGAGGGCTACTCCAGAGAAATTAATAATTTGGTATTTTGAGTTAGCCCTTTCTATCAGAGTAAAGCACTCAGCTGGGAGTCTCCAACTGCCCCAGCTAAGGGCTCAGCTGACAGTCATTGTTAGTCACCAGTCACACCAAGGGAACACATGTTCGGGTGATTTTTAGACCCTAGGTAGAGTCTTCTTTCCTGAGACTTCAGACCTTGTGGAACTGGAAGATGAAGTCTCCCTGCTGAACTTTGTCTGAATTCTAAGCCTACAGGATATATGAGCATAGTAAATGGATGTTTTAACCATCAGATTTGGGGATGATTTGTTACACAGCTCTGTTGACTACAATCACATATTTCATTTCACCTGAGCTACCTGGAAGCTCAAAGTCAATTTTAATGCTTAAATATAAAAATACTAGCCATAGGAGTAGTATACTACTTTTTCATTTTATGACCTTGAGCATACATTTCTGTTTTATGAACCTTATTTTGTCTTTCTTTGAAAAAATGCAAGCAATAAAATGATCCTTGTCTAAGAGTAAAATCATAAATTTAATACCTGAGTCTTCTTTCATGTCCACGTCCTCTTCTTCATTATCATCTATCAAAAAAATTACAAAAGACATACTCATATAAAATCTAGAACACTAGAATGCTTCAGTTTGACTGAAAGAAATCAAAGAGAGTAAAAAAAAAATGGTTAAATCATGCATTTCTGCTATCTTAGCTTGCCAGGCTCATGAAAATTGCAACTTAAGACACAGGGTATACATTTCCTTTTCAAAAGCTATATATTTATGACATGCCATATACACAATAATATGTTTATTTTTATTTGTTTATGCATACAAGAGCTGAGGCATAAGCCAGAGGAGCCAGAGGATTCAACAGAGACTGAATGGGGAGCAGAACAGGTGATCTACTGAAATACACTGCTGAGGGGCGCAGCGTGTGAGACAGAGGACCATGTGGGTCAGCTCCCTGCCCAGGGATTGAACCCAGATTGCAATGGCTGGCAATAGCTTGATAGCACTTAGACTTCTGAACCCATGCACCACCAGGGAGGCCCCATAATGATTTGTTTTAATATAAAAGTAATGTTTACCACTTTGATCATCTCAATTCCTAAGAAATAAAACACAATAGGCTTTAAATGATGTATTTTCTGCATTTAGTAAAGTTGTACCTGCTCACATCTAAATCCTGAAGAACATGGCATCACCACTTGGTTAGAGCTTGACCTGCCCAAAGTGTTTGTTTGCTATACTTGTTACTCAAATGCTCCGACCTGTTGCACCTTCTCTTATGTCACCCCCAGTACAACCCACAAGGAGTGTTTTCTCAGTGAAGTGCAGCATTTTTGAACTTCTAACATTTTGAACTTTTGAAGTTCTCTTAAATGTTCCTTGCAGCTAGCCAGGGCCAAGTCCTATCTCATTTCCATGTTTCTTCCTTTTGACTCACATTTACTTCAACCCAAATCCAGACTATCAATGTCATCTTCCTTCCCTAGGTAGTGCTTTCCCAACTGCTTCTCTCTTTTTCCCATTCCTAGTCCAGATCACAACTATTCTATTATTTCCTTTTTGCCTAATGAAAATATCTATTATGTTTTTCAGGGTAACACTCAAGGCCATAGTGTTTATTTCCAAACACTTTCGCCATCCCTGTTTCATCCATGCTACCACCTGTATAGACGACAACGATTGGCTATTTTCTCCACGCGGCCTTTAGTTTCCCCTACTTGCCTTGGTCTTCAAGGCATGGCCCTTCACCATCTCTATTGACTCTCAGCCTCCAAGGCCAAGCTTAGGCACTGTACCATCTATACCACTGACATTTGAATGAATAGTGTTCTTTTCTATATTCCACATTTTCATTGCCTTCTCAGTATGAATTTTTAAGACTTTTCGGATTCAGTTCTGCATGCTGGTCCTTCATTCACCCATTCATTTATAAGATGTTTGGTCTTGAAGGACCATTAACTCTCTGATAGGATACTAATAATGCTTCCTACATTGAGTTGTAAGGATAAAATGAGATAATGCCACAAGACAGTTATTAACATATTACTTCCATATGCCCATATCCTGATTAGAATTAGGGCAAAACTAAGAACAAATCTCTTGTTTCTTTGTATTCTCTGGTATAAGGTCAACTGATTTTATACATGGGAATCAATAAAAAAATCTGCTGAATTAAATTTTTGTTATTTTCTATGTATTGATATCTTCTACATGTGGGTATACCATGTATCTGCACTTAAAATGATTTGCAAACATTCTACTGGGTATATAAATTATAGTTTAATAATTTCTAAATAAAATTTATTCAATATGGCACTTCTACAAGTGTTAGTTATTAATGAAGATTAGAGATATTGGTCAGTAAAAATGGAAAATGCATTTAATTTGAGGTTTTATAAAGGTAGTTCTTGATGGGCATGGTTAACTTTTTTTTTTTTTTAAGATTTATTTATTTGTGCATACAGAACTAGGTACAGGCCAGAGATGCGGAGGGTGAGAGGATTCACCAGAGACAGAGTGGGGAGCAGAACAGGCAGATCAATGAAGTACACTGCTGAGGGGAGCAGCGGGCGGGCCAGGAGAGGTCTACCATGCCATGTGGGTCACCTCCGGGGCAGGCGGGAATCGAACTCATGCTGAAGTGGCTTTAGCTTCTCAGTGCTGTGCTTTAACCCGCTGCGCCACCAGGGAGGGCCCGGGCATGGTTAACTTTTAAAGAAGTAAATCTTCCATTCAGATATTTTAGAAACAGTAGTGATTTTCTATATAGTTCTTTATTCTTTCTATGAAAGCAGCTTTGGAAAGAATAACTACTTCTTAGAAATATAATTTTCTAACCAAAATGATTATCAACATGTTGTAAATTAAACTCTTCACAGAATCTTCCTTGAATTTATAACATTTAAACAGAATTTTATTTTCCACCGTTGTCTAACATCTCTATGACAGCAATCTATGGACTTTTAGTGGGAGCTGGAAAAATATCTCCCTACTTTCTAGGGAAAGATTGAATAAGAATCAAAGATCTTCTTACTTGCCAAATACATATTCATTTGTTGATCTGGCAAACAACTCTCAAGGGGAGTATTGTGTTTAAGACTTAGTGTTTGGGTCAATAGAAAACATCAAGTTGAATCGCACACTAAAGCAGTTGTCTAGAGACTATCATTAGTGCAGAAACAAGTACATGCAGATGGATTTGAAAAAGTGGTAGTGAGAATTCAGAGATGGTAGAGAAGGAGTGGATGCTTCCAGTTAGACAACTGGGAAAGGATCTTAAAAAATCTGGCATTAGACCTGACACTTGAACATTAGACGGTACTGAGCACACCTCCCCCAGAAAGGTCCCCATGTGTTAAAGGATCAAACTTGGTATTATCTTTCATTCATTTACTCATTTCACTCCCTCATTCATATTTAGTTAAGAGTGTCTTCAGCCTCTGTACTCAGTTGCTTGGGATAATTTTGAGGTCCAGATGTGTACAACTATGTGATCTTGAGTAAATTATATAAAACTATACTTCAGTTTCCTTACCTAGAAAATAGGAGTAATAAAAGTGCAAACCTTGAAGAGTTGGTAATATATATAAAAAATGATTACATAGAACGAGCATTCAATAAATATTATCACTGTTTATTACTTCTTTTACTATTTTGCAACCATTGTTGCTAACATCATGTGGAAACACTACATAAGGCTCTGAAGACACAGATAAACAATCCCTTTTCCCAAAGAAAACACAAAGAAGCAAGCAAATGACAAAGAAAAGTAAGAGAAAAATCAAAGATACAGTTAAGAGATTCTGAGGTGAAGGTAATCAATTCTATTGGGAAACAGACAAGAGGCAGTTAAGTAAGAGAGATGGTGTAGGAAAAGTTTTAAAAGATGTGCACCTGAGCTGAGTTCTAGAAGGAAAACTGGAATAAACAAGAGAAAAGAGAGGCTACAGTAGCATCTCAGATGCTTACACCTAGTTCTTCCCAACACTTCATTACCTGTGGTTATTGCTGATGCCCTTCCAATCACCAACTTCAAAGGCTTTTCTGGGTTGCTAGAAACTACTGAAGGAATATGAGGGAATTAAGACTCCTCAGAGGACAGCCATTCACAAGTGACTCATAGGATTTGTTTCTTGGATATACTGAGCATGTTCTAGATCACTGCCCAAAGAGAACCAGAGCCATCCCAGCAATACCACTGAGACTAACTCCCCCATGGAAAGAGGCTTACACCTTAACCTTTCTTTCCCTGTCTCATTTCTCCCTGGGCTTGTAACAGAGACATAAAAAGAGGACATTATATAAAACTATACTGCTGTCCCTGGGCTTGTAACAGAGACATAAAAAGAGGACATTATATAAAACTATATGTGCATGTTCTCCACCTCACTTAAAAAGTGAAGTAGTTAAGCATCCAGGAGAAGCTACAGAAAATGGAAGGCAGGTGAGCATAGGGGAAGAAGCTGCACACTGGTACAGCTGGGAAGAAGACATGGAAAGAGACAGCTGGTGAGAGATGCTTGGGGAGGCTACCAATGGCAGCTATTACCTTGATTTGTACTTTGATTTTGTTCCTTTTGTCTCAGCTTTCTGGGACACACTTCAGAACATCCTTCTTATGGTTTCCCACTAAAAGGTGCCTTAGATTTGTGGCAAGGCTTCAGGACTTAGTGGCTCCCACTTCACAACAACTCTGCTTGGCTGGGCATTAGCCTATGAGAGGATGGGTAATTTTGGGCAACTTGTTGGAAACGATCATACTCAAATACAGTAAGAAATCAATTGTTAGAACAGTGGGTCTATGAAATGTCAAATGCATTTAGGTAAATAAACTATCTCTGAATGGCTGAAGAATGGGTACTTTTTAAAATAGATTTATTTATTTATGTATACAAGAATGGGGTGTATGCAAGGGGTGTGGGAGATTAAATGATTTTCACCAGAGACAGAGTGGGAAGCAGAACAAGTGGACTGACAGAAATACACTGCAGAGGGGAGCAGCAGGCAGACTGGAGAGGTCTGCTGTGCCATGTGGGTCACCTCCCGGCCAGGAATCAAACTCATGCTGCAGTGGCTGCAGATAGTTTCATAGCACTGACAGTTAATCCCTTGTGCCACCAGGGAGGCCTCTACAATAGGTAATTTTATGGATCAGGATGACTGGGCCATGGAATGGGAATTTTCTGACATTTGCCAAGTGTTATTCTGGGTGTGCTTGTAAGGATGTTTCTGGATGGAATTAAATTTTACTTGGGGGACTAAGCAGAGTACCCTGCTTACAGAGACTGGGTCTCATTCAACCAACTTAAAGCTATTCTCTACACAAGCTAAGAGGGTATTCCTCCTGTTGGACTACCTTTGCAGTGGACCATGAGGGTTTTTTTTTTTCTTTAACTGTTTTTGGACTAAAACTAAGCATTTTCTAGATCTCAAGTTTCTATGAATTTGGGCTGAAACTGTGCCATCAACTCTCCTAATTTTTAAACTCCTATTGGGACTATATTCAGCTCTCCTGGCTCTGTTTGCATATACATATTATTGCTGTTATAATGCTATCAGTTCTCTGTCTCTGGAG